CAGAATTTGGACAGCAATTCAATTAAAAAAAGAAGAATTCATATTACAGATATGCAGTAATAACAATTGTTAATAGAACATACAATACACCATTGGTCAAATGTTTGGGGTCAGTATTAGGGCGTGTTCACACTTAGTAAAATAAAAAGCTGGCAGCGTTTTGGTTACAAATAGCAGCCGAGGGCGTCTTTTGTTGCTATTACAACAGCTGCAACAGTAGCCTAGTGCTATATGCTGCAGAAATGTCGAGAAAGAGTAAAAAGTTGGCTCTTGCGTTGCCTTTTGAAGTTAACGGGGAAGAGAATGTCAGTTCACAACAATGTTTTTGGGTGCGCGACATTATACGGGGAAGGAAACAGTATGGTGCTTACAACAATTTAGTCCAGGAGCTCCCGTTGAATGATGCACGGTTTGTGGCATATTTTAGACTAAGTTAGATACAGTTTTGTGCTAATATAATACAACTCCTTGTGCTCCGAAACCAGGGGTGTGAAGTAACGAATTACAAATGCTCATGTTACAGTAATTAAGTAGTTTTTATCAGTAATTGTACTTTTTTGAGTAGTTTAAAATTTGTGTACTTTTACTTTTACTTGAGTACATTTTACGTGATGTATCGGTACTTTTACTCCACTATTTTCCTCCGTTTGTGGTCGTAACATGCTTATTTTAATTTAATTTTTATCCATGAACGTGATTGGATAGTGAGATAGTAATAGGTCTCGTGACTTTCGTCAAATCAAATTGTGCATATACAATTTTAACCGCCAACTGTTTATCATGGCTGCTGGAAGTGCATTCTTCAAGCATCAATTCAGTCGCATCTTCCTCTAACTTAATATGTTATGGTAAATGTCGGATTTCTGCTTACTAAATGATTTGTATATATGCTTGCCTATCTACACGGCCTGAAATTTGGTGTGAGGTTGTGGGTATTGATACAGTGTAACTCACGCAAGTGCCACGTTCGGTAAATTCCCCACTCACTTATAAGACGTGCGATCTGCGCTGCCTCGTCTCTCTCTCTCGCATGCGTTCTGCAGCAGTCACTTGGATAAGTCGTTGTTGCTTGTTGAACGTGTTGACTTTTGATGAGTTTGAGCGTGTGATGCGTGCTGTGAAAAAGTGTGTTGGAAACACAACTTGAGAACCAATCTGCACCTTATTGATGACCCGTAGCGTTAATATACTGCATCTGTGCCAGCGATGTAATAAAACTGCAGCTCGCTAGTAAATGTTTTTTAATTTTTTTATTTATTTCACAATCCGCCTTCATTTAGCAAGTGCACTCGCGCACAAACAATTTTCAAGTTCAACACTTTTTGTTCTGTTCAGTTGTGGATGCTGCTGATTCACCGAGACTGCCGCGGCTCATCAAAGAGACATGCGCGCAATTGAGTTATTCTTATTTCTTTATTGCAAAACACTAAAACTGGCACCGTTTTGCAGAGAAATGGGCTCTCATTTTAACCCATATCATGGTGTGTGATGCTGAACTATGAGTTTCTAATGGTGTTTGTATTTTCACTGTTCTAAACATTAATATTTTATGTGCAACAACAGCATGCTGTCTCAGTGGCCTTACACATGATTTTAAATCTATTTTTTCAAACTTTATGATTTAAATGGGGATGATTGTACTGAGAATAACTTTCATCTTTTCTTCAACTGAATACTGTTTCCGTGCTGTTTTGATGTATTTTAAAGAGTTGGCAGTCAAAATTAAAACTGCTGGATGATAGATATTCTTCATTCTTTATGACAAACAAGATAATGTGAATTACAGAATGTACAATGTTTTAAAAATGGGTAAATTGCGGTGTACAGCGTTTATTATGAGGGGGAAGAATCCACAGCTCAGTACTCACTACTCAATACTCATGAGTACTTTTAAATAGGCTACTCTTTTACTCTTACTCAAGTAGCTTTTTGGATAAGTACTTTTACTCTACTTGTAGTGTTTGAGGGAAGCGGGGTTCAAGTTTTCCCGGGCAATATGCTAATGTTTCATGTTGACGCCAACATGAAACGGCTTGGGATTCGTTTTAAAAAAGACTCGTTTAAAGGATTCCGAATCGACTCTTTTTTTTTTTTGAGAAACAATATCTGTATACACGGTGCACTTTCAGATTTAAAACTTTGTCGGATGTTTTCATTCACTTAGAGCTGTGTTACACACTGCATGAAAGGTCATTTTCAAAGTCAAAAATGTAATGGTACTTTTACTTGAGTATATTTTTTCAGTACTCTTTCAACCTCTGTCCGAAACTAGTACGAACTAATCTACCGGCTATCTTTTCCATTTTTCTTGTTGTTTTTGTTGCTATGGAAACGACTTGCCACTCGCTTGTCATTGGTCAGCTGTCAAAAAGACGCTTGACGTAGGGCGTTTTTTTTCAGAAAAGTTTAGCTTTTTTTCAACTGAAAAGATGCTCTGAGCTGCAGAAAAAGACGCCGGCGGTGGCGTTTTAAAAAGTGCTCAGGACTTTTTTGAAAACACGGTTTACTCCATAGGATTATAATGTAAAACAGACACTGACAGCTTCAAAAAAGACGCCAAGTGTGAACATAGCATAATATGTTTTTTAAAGAAATTAATAATTTTATACAATATACAAATTGAAGTGATCAAAAGTGAGGGTAAATCACTTTTAAATCCTAAAAGTCTCCTAAAACTCACCAAATTATTATTATTATTATTATTAAATTATTAATATTTAGACAAAAATATTAAGCAGGACAATTGTTTTCAACATTGATAAGAAATGTTTCTTGAGTAGCAACTCAGCATTTTATTTAAATTTTTAGTAATATTTCACAATATTACTGTTTTTACTGTATTTTAATAAAATATGCAGCCTTGGTAAATGTAAGAGAATATTTTCAAAATCATTAAAAGAATCCCAAACCTTTGAATGGTAGTGTACGTGAAAAACACACTTTTTAGTCCTATTCTTTTTGAGACAAAACGCAAAATAAATATTTAAAAAGAAATGATTTTGGATTAATCTGTTTAGCATGTTTTGAGATATAGATTTAACTTTTGGTGCAAAAATGTTATAATTACAATCTAAATATTATTGATTGATTGATTGATTGATTGGTTTGATATAAATATAGGTTTTGTTATATTTAATATATTTTATTCTGTAAAATATTTTGTGGTCTGAGCACAGGTGGTTTTAGGGGTAGGGAGTGATAATATCATTTCATAAAATAAAGAGCATGTAAAAAGGAATTGAATATTTATATTATAAAGGTTCTAGTGATAATCTGAGATTAATCTCAAAAAGTAGAAATGTTGCTGTTTTCAAAACTAATCACTGGACATGTTTTGTCCCATCTTTCTAGAATCAGTGAGGCGTTTTCATTTTCATGTTTGTTGGTTTATTTATCAGTGCATTTACTGGTGCATAAGCATCAGTGCTTTTGTGTGGGTTACAGTAAAAGGAGAACAGTCTCATTCATAATGCATGTCTAGAGTTGAGAGTGTGAGACGGTAAGCCGGTGCATTCCTGTGATATGACCCAAGAGAGATGAAGGCAGCACATCAGCGGGCCTCTCACCGCCAGCTCTAGTTTTAACTGTGAATAAGTCCGTTCTCAATGAAACACAAATATAAAGTCAAGTGCCATGATGTGTTGGGTTGATAAAGTACAGGACACAAACTCCAACTGTTGTTTTGTTGTTGCTGACATATTTGTTTTCAGTCAAAACAAAACTCAGTCCCAGGTTTTACGTGGGTCATGAATCATTGGCCCTTTATGTGCGAGACAGTACAGTCTGCTGAAGTCACCAAGGTGCAGACTGAACCACTAATATGGATTTATCCATCCGCACCACATTACTCGTCTCAGATGTGAGCCTGCATGGATGTGATGTCGGTGGCTAAGCGAGAATAAAATGTACAGCCACGTCACTGTTCGCATCAGGAAAATACCCAGGGCAGAGCAATTATATTAATGCTCCCCGGGGATTATGGGTCAGCATGTTGTAAGCACAGTTGGGTAGATCTAAGGACTAGGGAGGTGAAGGTTAAGGACAGCGCTCCCGCTGGGCTGGGGAAGCCCTCTAAAATGGGACTTTTTCTGGAAGAGTTGTTTTTTTATGTTTTGTTCTTTGCACTACAATATTACAGCAACCTTAATAAATATGTATTTAAATATCATGTTAGTTACATTACTTTGTATCAAATTTAAGTTTTACTTTATTTTTTGTTTTGTGTGTGTTTTTTATTGTTTTATTTTTCTATTTTTTGCTTTGTTTATTTGTTAAATATTAGCTTTTTTGTTTTTGTGTATATTTTTGTTTATTTTTAATTTTGTGTTTGTTGGTTTTTGTTTTATGTTTCTTTTTTAATGTTTATTTCTATGGTTATTTTTCATTTTTATATTATTTGATATAGACATGTCTATATTATTTGATATTTTTGTTTTGTTTTATTTTTAATTGTTGTATTTTTCCATTTTTTTATTTATGTTTATTTGTTAAATATTTGCTTTTTGTTTTTGTGTATATTTTTTGTTTTGTGTTTGTTGGGTTTTGTTTTATGTTTCTTTTTTATTGTTTATTTCTCTGTTTATTTTTCATTTTTCATGTCTATATTATTTGATTACATGTTTATTTGGAAATGAGTCCTGACAGTTTTGTCCACAGCAGGAATTTATTTTTTATTTGGACAAGTTTTCCTCACTAGGTATCTTGTGTTACTATTAGGAGTTACCTAACCAAAAACATTTAACGCTATTTTTCCATAAAATTTAGTTTAAAACTAACCTAACACACATATCCTTTATAGGCTCATAGTAGAAAATAGCAAACATTTGTTAAAAAAAAAGGCAAATCGCAACAGCTGCTAAGGTAAAATTTGTCAACAAAATGCCCATATTACTTGAAATTGTTAACTTGAAATTGTCAACCTGAGTAAAATGCTACTCCAACGTCTTCCAATTTTCTCATTTGACATCAGCGCTAACTGTCCTGTTGTTTTGTCTCCCCAGCTTTGATGTGGACAATGGCACCTCATCAGGACGTAGTCCGCTGGATCCCATGGCCAGCCCGGGGTCAGGTCTCATCCTCCAGGCCAACTTTGTGCACAGCCAGAGGAGAGAGTCCTTTCTGTACCGCTCTGACAGCGACTATGACCTCTCACCAAAGTCTATGTCCAGAAACTCCTCCATCGCCAGTGACATGTGAGCAACTGTCTCTTTTAAATGCAGAACTGGTTTATTGGCATATACATTTCTTTTTATTAATGTTCATGTTTTATTAATAAATGGAAAGACAAAAAAGGAAAACTATAAATAGAAAAAGCTTGTGCTGTTGTAATTAGTATTTTGTCCTTTTTTTGTAGACACGGTGATGACATGATTGTTACCCCTTTTGCACAGGTATTGCAATATTAAATGTGTCAAAATTTCAAAAATTATGAAACACAATCTAACTCAATTTATGTGTCTTCTCAGGTTCTGGCAAGTTTAAGGACTGTCCGGAATAATTTTGCTGCTTTAACAAATGTACAACAGGAAAGGGCCAATAACAAGTGAGTGCTTTCAGTTTAACATATTCACATGCACACATTTTTACCATAACAATGAATCTTGACAGAATTTGTAGATGTTGTAAGTTTGGTAACAGCAGTCAATCTGTGTTACTTTTGTTTGCATCATACACAATGACACATTCTTTGTTTCCTTTTTTTCTCAACCAGGAGAGCGGAAGTAATCTCTCGCGTGTATACGTCACTCATTGTTTACACAGTGCACAGTCATTGTAGGTACGACGGCTAATCAAAATGGTACTTGCGCTTATCCGTATTGTTCAATCCGACTTAAAACTAAAAGATTATGTTCTCTCGCGTTCTCTCATGTGACTTTCCACATATTCCCAACTTCTGAGCCTGCTCGCCTGAAGTTATGGTTGATTGCTCTTCGGCTGGATATCAACACACCCATTAACGTAAACTACGCCAGAGCACATACACACCTCATGCACCGGATGCCGTGTACGCGCCCAAAGACAGTTGGACATAGTGATGTATTAGAGGTAAAAAAATTATATAAATACTGTTCGGTTTCTGGCACAACCCGATCTTTTCATGTCTTAGGACATCAGTGTTTCGTCACGAGCCGCAGCGTTTAATTTGGATTTGTCTGTGCATGTTTTTTTTACTCTCATAGATTTTGTTACCATTGCCATGCATTATACGACTGATAGAATGCAACGGTTTAAGTTAAAAATCATCATATGTGTCACCTACAAAAGTCACCAACAAACAAAGTCACCTACATCTTGGATGTCCTAGGGATAAGCAGATAAACATCAAATTTTCATTTTTGGATGAACTATCCCTTTAAGAAGAAGTGTGATCAGACTTGCGCAGACAATAAAACGAGTGATTAATAGACTTATATTGAAGCAGGGACCCGAGCCATATTTACAGACCAGAATACCACAGGGAAGTGGGCTTTTTTTTATTACTTTGGCCAGTAAGGAATCATCTAGCAACCCAGAACACCATACAAATATGGGATATCAAACATTTTTATGCTAAGCACCCAAATATAATCAAATTGTGAAAAATCTGCTTCCTGAAATATAAAGCCATATATTTTAAGTGTAAGAAAAGTGTCATGTTATCAAGGCAACATGTTGTTACAAAAAAAAAAAAAAATTGGCATTTATGTTGTCATTGTGCTGAATGCAAAATAAATTCTTAAAATATCCAATGAATTAGTAATAATTTAAATGTATTTATAGCACCTTTAACCAAACATATTGGTCTAATTTATATACTAATAGTTTTTGTTAATTAACTTTTATTTTTATATTTTCAGTTTTTGTGTTAAGTGCTTTTGCCATTTTTGATTAGTTTTAGATTATATATTTTATATTTCTATATAGATTTAATTAATTTCAGTTTAATAATTTGACTACTTAAAATTAAATGGTTAGTTGCCAAGGCACCACTTCTAATAATTTAAATGTATTTATATAGCACCTTTAACCATATTGTACATATTGAGCTAAAGCCTCTTTTTTTATTTTCAGACTTTTTTTTTTTCCTTTGAAATTTTTTACAGACCCACTATTATGGCCGTTTGAAAAACCCTGCGCCAGAAAATGCATATGAACATGCAAAAAAAAAAAAAACTCAAGAAAAACTCTTACTTGCATTCAGTTGCATTGTAGTAAAGCCTCACAATTGGAGCCTAAAGATGTGATCGAACAGACTTTCACTGCATGTTTATTTTTTTATCTGTACCTTTTTAAGGTTATTTTTTGTGATTTCTAGTGTATCCAAACAAATCTTCAAATGTTTTGATGAGGATTTCCTTGCTGACATGTTAGCGAGAGCCTGTGACCCAGATTGGAGAAATCCAGTCCAGCTTTTCGCCACAGCTCTCCTGTCTATGGAGCCAGTGCCCTCTCATGGGCTGGTGTATGATGTCGCGCTAAGCACGAGAAGAATGTCATTGACGTCAGTGCAGTCTCTTTCAGAGAAAGTGGCACCCCAGCCCTGTGTACTTCACCACACATGCAGAAAGAGAGAGAGACACACACAGACAGGCAATGAATAAGATAATGTATGCTTTGTTAAAGGAGTGTACATGTGGCACATGCAATCTGTCTGGCTTTGTTTTCATAGTTGCTTCCAGTAAGCAACATGTCTAGCATAGCTGCACTGACGTCTGTTTTTCAAGTCTTTTGTTATTTTGTTTCACTTATTTTTATGCCCTCATATGGTCATAATAACTTTTTTTTAAATGCACATGCAACAGATGTTTTGCATGTCATAAATGGTACCATCTCAGCAAACTCACAATTTCATTACTAAATTATTATCAATCTTTATAAACCTAAATCATAAAGCATCCTCTCCAAGAACAAAAAAAACACACACACATTGGACACCTCTAACCTTTCTCAGACTGTCAGCTGTGAAGGACCTGAGCTCCTCAGCTCCAAATCCTGTATAGTTCATGTCAGGTTTTAGCTGAAGTCCTCTCTCTCCTGCATGCAGCAGCACTGGCAGGCTTTAGGCTTCTGTTTCAAGAGGAAGCTCGGCTCACGTTCGGCTAGCGACGCTCCACGGCTGCCCCGTGTTCGTGCAGGGCATCCACCGCTCTGAGAAAAGGGGGCAGGCAGATGCAAGCACCTTTGTTCTCTTTTGCGGCAGACTGGAAACAGGGACAAGTCACTCATCTATTGGCATCAAGCCTCTGTATGCTTTGCATTTGTGCTCGTATGCGTGTATTAGCGAGTATATCTGTGTGTTATTGTTATGACATTATGCCTGTATGCTTTGTTATGGGTCGGATCGCATGCTTGTAGGGGCCACCACACGCTCCTCGTCTTCTTGGATATAGACCGGCATCTGTCACGCAGAGATGGGCCTGCCCACAGCAATGACATTCTCCCTGTCCCAAGATGAGAGGTTTGATTCCGGGCTCCTCGACATGTAGGACTATAGATTCTGCAGTGACTGTCGTTTTGTTTGTGAGCGGCGTGAGTGTTGGTTTATGTGACCCCTTTGTATGTTTTCGTAAGGGATATAGTGTTCCCCGCTTCTCACGAGATCTGACTCCCACTCCTGGTCGTTACGGTGCCTCATTTGGATTACGGTGTTTTTGGAAACCTTGTTTTTTGGCTCAATTTGGGGCCCCATCATTCACTGTGGAGGGCTTCAGCACAGCATGAAGAATCACCCATGCGTTCTGTCGGGATATCCCAACATGGCGGTCTACAGCAGTTTGGGCCCTCTGCTGGGAGCCTCAGCTAGACCCCTAAAGCATCTGAGATCTGACTCCTTGCCTCCTTCTCTTCCTCCAGAGGAGGCCTACCAGAAACTGGCCACAGAGACCCTGGAGGAGCTGGACTGGTGCCTCGACCAGCTTGAGACCCTCCAAACCAGGCATTCGGTCAGCGAGATGGCATCCAACAAGGTGAGAAGATCTAGGCGTCTTGGGTTATTTTTTGCTTTTTAGGATTCCCTAGGATAGTTCTGCAAGTTGATGAAGTGTTTCAGGTTTTCAGTTTCCACTCATAGTCACAAATGGGCCTCATATTGTGGACCTATTCATAACATTTTTTATTTTATTTTATGCTGAATTATTTTGCTCTTGTGCACAATATACAGTATGATATAGTGCCTTTAGATCAAATGACTATTTTAAGACTTAGGATATTGCAAATGTTTTTTTGTTGTTTGTTGACTTCTGGTAGACCTGATCATACTGTGATTGTAGGCTTGTCAGTATTGAACATTCATTTAAAAATGAGCTTGAGATGATTGACATTCTAAAGTGGCAGTCTGCTCAAATAATAAACGACTAAACTGTTTAGTTGTTTTTAGAAAAATACGCTTATTTAGATCATTGAGTGTCATGCTTTGGTGTCTTTTAAGCAGTGCACTGTTTGCAATAACAGCAGCAGAATCGTCATTCAGGCTGCACTGAGCATGCTCACAGTCTCCAGCAAGGCCCCAGTACACATACAGCATGCTAATCAGCCTGTAGTGTGTATCCGGTCTAGTCCACTCAGCCACAACACCTTATAAAAAACCAAGATTTGAGAAGCTTCTAATATTTCTTAGACAACCGGGCTAAAGGTCTGACAGAGGTGACCAGACATAAGTAACAGAAGCGTCAAATACTCACATTTTCATACGTCTCACTCGACCGAACCCCCCCTCCTCCCTTTCCCTCCTCAATACCCAGTATCCATGGAAACGCACAAGGCCTGTCAGTTTGCTTTGTTGCTTTAGCTCAATAGCAATAGTGGCATATCCCGTATAAAACTGCCTCACACTCGCCACGCAAGTGTTATATCCTACTTGACTGTTATAAATAACACTGTTTTCGTGTTGTTTCAGAACAGAAATAGCTAGACTGTTATGAAAAACATTTTTAGCGGTTGTGTGGAGATGTCCAGCTGCCATTGTTTTTATGATTTATTAGCAGTCAGTGTTCATAAATAGCCTGGGTGCTTGAATACATCTTCCATTTCAATGACAGAAAAACATATCTATTTCACCATAAGAATTAAATTTAGATCTGTTTTATAACTCTAAAATGTAATTTTTTAGCTATAGGGATTAGTCTGTAAGACTTTTTTTGATCAAGCAGTGATATCTGGGTAGCAAATCAGTCCAGGTACATCATTTATATTAGATATTTCAAGGCTACATATTTTCATGAGACTAAAACATTAGTCTCATGTGACCTTATGCTATCAATGAATAATGATGTTCAATTAATAATAATTATATATTAATATAATATATTTAATTATAATAAAATATATTAGTTTTAACAAAATATAATTTTATATTTTTATATTATTATGTAAAATATTATTTAATAAATATTAATTAATATTTATATATGTTCTGTCTATTTTTATGTAAAATATATTATTTCTATTGATAGTATGTTTATCTGTTATATTAAACACTATTATATTAACAATATACTACTACAACCGAGTCAGTTCAAAGTCAAACTAATTCTTCAGTAAAAATCATGTTATATACTACTTTGTTTTTAATTTTATTATTATTCTCTTTTCATTTCATGCAATTTTTTGGTTAGTTCAGATATTATTATTAATAATCATTTTTTGGATGATTTTGTGTTTCAAGTAATTTTACTGTAAGTTCATTTTGATTACTTTTGATTTAATTTAACTTGCTTTCATGTAACTGTTGGACAGTGTCACTTTAGGAAAATGTACAGTTTGCATGCTATCTGATCTGATATTTTGTAATATTGAATTTGTTTTATTTTTGTATTGTTGATTATTTGCTCATCTGAATTGCATCAGAGAAATGCCCTTTTACAAAGCTGTATGCGTGTTATAGATATTTTATGCATCATTGTAATTCATCAAAGATTGCTCAATGGGTATATTGTTACTGTTTAGTCTGCTGGAATAGTATATGTGCAGTTTATATTAGAATAATAATGATGTTATTTTGAGCTCACAATTTATAGACGTTATCAAATCCCTTGCAAGTTCAGAAGAAATAATGAATGAACGTTGCTTTTGATCTACAAGGCATATTATTAAACTAGAGGGATGGATTCAGGAACAAATCATTATTTAGGCCTCTGTCCCAGAAAACACATTTTCAAGGAGTCACAGCTACAAATTGTGTGATATCTTTCCATTTTTTGCTGGGAGACGTGTTTTAACACCCTCTAGATGTTCCAACAATAGAAACACAGTCACCTCTGTCCGCACGGACCCGCAACAGGCTATTACCATCGGCTCATCTGCTCCAGTAAAGCTGCAAATTACTCCGCATCCCACTAGTGATACACAGGGACCAGAAGTGTGAAATAATCCCTGACCATGTTCTGTCAGCTCCACTGCCTCGGCTCTTTATTTGCTGCTGTGCAGTACGTATTTCTGCCACTGGCTCTGTCCAGCTCAGTGTAAAGACACAGGTTTTGGTACAATACTTCAGTGACATGTTTCTAAAAATGTCCGAGGCCTACAGGTAATTTTTTAGTCACTTGCTCTCTGGGTACAGTGTGGTTTTGGATAATAGGCCATTGGAAGTCTATTACACAGTTATCATACATTTGGCTAAATACTTCAGGCCCTGACCATATATTTATGTTATAATGCATATAGATTGCTGTTTTTTTATGACTTGAAAATTTTTGTATTTTGCTAATTTGACTGAATTTTTGCAAATTTGACTGAATTCTGCTGATAGAAATATGCAGGAAGAAGCATTATTACGTATATAGCCATCATATATATTTGCATTTTTGTATTTTTATATTCATAATGTATATATTTAAAATGCATATTTTAGCATAATTACAGTGCATAAAAGACATACATTTTAGTTTTTAGGGGATTTTTGTAGCAAAAATAAGTGCATTTTTGCCAATTTGACAGAATTCTGCTGATAAATATGCAAGAATAGGTAGATGCATTTATTATGTTTATAGCAGTCATGGAGCAAATTAAAAACTTGTACATTTGTAAATGTTTATATGTGTATACACATTTTTCATTTGCTCCATGACAGCTATAAATGAATTAAATGAATTAAATTTAATATAATTTTATTATTTACTTATATATTATTTTATTTTTTATTACATTTAATATACAAGTGTCACTTTTAATGGTCTTGCCGTAGGGCAGGTCTAGTAAAAAGTCTAAACTTACTGGGCCAGTGGAAAAAATTTATTATTTTTTTTTCCAGTTACAATCAGTAAAAGAATAAAATGGCACATTTCCCGGGATAGTTTTTGCTTTATTCAAGGGCTCATTAACAATTTACCAGGACAAATCTAGCACGGCGTCATCGGTTTGTTTTGTTTTTGTTCATATGACATATGTTCTCCATTGACTCCCCTCTGTGGATTTATGTGAATGAACTTCACTGAATATTTTATGAGTCTGGCTGACACAATGTCCACTTCCAAACCTCACATCATGTCATGAAGATTACCTCACCACTCCACACATACACCCGCATCTGTCCACACACATATGCGCATATTCAAACGTGACGTGAACACGTATTAATCCAAACCACACATAATGACTGTGTGCCTTTTTGGGGAGCTATCTGCTGTATTAAAGAGCTCTCGTACAAAGAAACACATCCTCCAACTGAGCTGCAAACATCTAGAGGGTGAAGTGGGAGGGGTCCTGAGGAGGAAAGCACTCCCAGAGGATTTACATGCGAGCTTGGCTCGGCCAATCGGCTGCAGTGATGAGCTCATTCTAATCTGGAGGAGCCGCCTGATTGGCAGGGCTGCAGTCAGAGACTCTCACCTGAATGATTGTGTGAAACGCAGCCTTATTTGGAAGCTGTTAACTGGGCATATTTTCCTTCCAAAGCGCAGACATTTTTCAGTCTATTTGGTTTGAGTGCGCAGCTCACGGATAGATGCTATCAGACAATGCCGTGGCTTCTTCACGCCCTCCTCTGTCTTAGATGGAATCTTGCCAGGTTTCTTAACAATGGAGTCAGCCATCGCAAGGAATGCCTTGGAATTTCTGGAGTTTTCAGATGGGGTTTAGTGTAATATCATAACCTTAGTTCAGGTGGATTACAAAATAAATAGAGCTTTGAGATCCTCTCGCTGAGCAGTTTGTGTTCCTCTTACCTATCAGCCAGTGTTTTCTAATTTCATCTGCTATCTGGACTTACTCATTCAAAATGCCTGAGGCAAATTATTTGCTGTCAGTTTCTTGGGGATACATTAAGGTAAGCTAATCAATCATGAAATACTGTATTCTTATATTGGAATGAGGTTGGATGGGCTGCTGTTGTTTATTACTGGTGTTCAGTATGTGGTTACATAAGGAACAAAGGTTGCATAAAGAAACATGATATCTAATGACAGGAATCTAAATGAATGAATTTGTTAATTAATGGCATTTTTGTATTTTTATGTTTAGATTATGCATATTTAAAATCTGCATTTCATCATAATTACAGTACTTAAAAACCTAAATTTTCTTTTTTTATTTCTATTCTATGCCTTGTTAGTTTTTACTTTCTTATTTCCGTTTAGGCTGTATCACTATCTGAACCAAACTACTATAAAAAGGACCAGCACATCATGTGCTTAGTTGTTTGTTTGCGCACATTAGCAAGTTTATTTTTGAGCATGCGGTGGTTTTCATCTCTAGCTGGTGTCTGCAAATCTTGTTTGGGGAAACGGGGAAAAAGGTTTTGTTTTGTGGCGTCTATCTGGTGTGACCTGACATTCTCAACAGTGTGAGAGGATTCATATGTTTTGGGTTGTTTGGAGGACTCAGCCTTGATATCATGGTGTATCTGCTAACAGATAGCGACATAGCTGACAACGGAAAATCCATTAAATGATTAAAAAAGGTAAAATGCTTTCTAGAGCAGTGAATAAAAGAGGGGGTGTTTGGAAAATGGTGCTAAAATGTTACACAACACCTCCACACTAGATATTTTTACTTCTTTTTTTTTTTCTTCAGTTTTTCCGTAAATAATTATGGATACTCAAAAAACATACTTTTTTCACACAAAATGTCTAAATCTAAAAAAAAAAATAATAATAATTTTCCTTGTTTGTTTATCTCTCAACAGTTCAAGAGGATGTTGAATAGAGAATTGACTCACCTCTCTGAGATGAGCCGATCTGGTAACCAGGTGTCTGAGTTCATCTCCAGTACATTCTTAGGTGAGTGTCCCACGAAAACATAATAAAGATCAAACATGGATGTTTACATACATTGAGTGTAGAATACAACTATAATGTTATGTGGCAACATGCACAGCATTTTTAAATGAACAAATGAGTCAAAGCATTTTGACTGGAGGAGGGCGGCTGTGTGAAATCGTGTGTGAATGACGGTCATGTAGCTAAATAATCAGCCGCAAGTGAGACCATTAAATGACCATAGCCCACTATTCTTTTACAAAAATTTCTAGAATCTTCTCTGAGCGATTTCTGTTTCTCTAGACAAGCAACACGAGGTGGAAATGCCATCGCCCCAGTCCCAGAAAGACAAGGAGAAGAAGAAAAGGCCGATGTCCCAGATTAGTGGTGTAAAAAAGTTAACGCACAGTTCCAGCCTTACCAACTCTAACATCCCTCGGTTTGGAGTCAAAACTGAAACAGAAGATGAGCTGGCCAAGGTAATCTTAAAATATATATTAAATAATAATAAATAAATTATCTTATCTAATAAAGCCTTAAAATATAAAAAAATACACTGCCGTTCAGATGTTTGGAATTTTTTTTTTCAAGGATATGTTAAATAGATAAGACATTTATAATGTTTCTATTTTAAATAAATTCTGTTATGTCAAAGTCCCTTTAAGGCAAGTCATGTCACTCGGCGGCCATCTTTGAAACACCTCTCGGGCATGCAAGTGCAGCTCCTATCTCTTTGAATGGGAAATCATCAAATTCTCCAAAACTGTTCGCAAAGCTTATGATTAAATAGCATTTAAAAAGGCTTATTTCTCAGGCCAGTGCACATGCGCAGTCCTAGGCGCACGTCTCCGAGCGTTGACTGTTTCTATAGCAACAGCGATTTCTAATGCACTGACTTTACCGATTAGCGGTTGGCTCTTTTCCTCAGAAGGCGGTGCTTCGTTCGATAGAGCGACCATATTGAGCGTTGCATTTTTCCCCATTCAAAACTATACGAGCGACACGTCTTGGGTATTCTATAGTCTTTGGTTATATTGAACTTTCTATTCTTCAGAGAATCCAGAAAAAAAATGTCTCACTGTTTACACAAAAATACTAAGCGGCACAACTGTTTTCAACATTGATAATAATAAAAAAAAAAAAATGTTTTTTGAGCACTAAATCAGCATAATATTATGATTTCTGAGGGATCATGTGGCACTGAAGACTGGAGTAATGGCTGCTGAAAATTCAGCTTTGCCATCACAGGAATAAATTACATTTTAAAATATTAAAATAAAAAATAAAAAAACTTTTTTTTAAATTGTAATATCACTGTTTTACTGTATTCTTGATATAATAAATGTAGATTTGGTGAGCATAAGAAACTTCTTTCAAAAACATTTTAAAAATCTTGCCGACCTCAAACTTTTTAACGGTAGTGTATAAAATAAAATGGCTATAAATTAGAGATGTACAGAAAACTTCAATATAGGAAATCAAACTATATGTTTCACTTTGTGTCATTTCAGGAGCTTGAAGATGTAAATAAATGGGGCCTTAATGTCTTCAAAGTGTCAGAATTTTCTGGGAACAGACCTTTAACAGTTATGATGCACACAATATTCCAGGTACATTTTTACATCAATCATGAAATACTGTATTCTTATATTGGAATGAGGTTGGATGGGCTGCTGTTGTTTATTACTGGTGTTCAGTATGTGGTTACATAAGGAACAAAGGTTGCATAAAGAAACATGATATCTAATGACAGGAATCTAAATGAATGAATTTGTTAATTAATGGCATTTTTGTATTTTTATGTTTAGATTATGCATATTTAAAATCTGCATTTCATCATAATTACAGTACTTAAAAACCTAAATTTTCTTTTTTTATTTCTATTCTATGCCTTGTTAGTTTTTACTTTCCTATTTCCGTTTAGGCTGTATCACTATCTGAACCAAACTACTATAAAAAGGACCAGCACATCATGTGCTTAGTTGTTTGTTTGCGCACATTAGCAAGTTTATTTTTGAGCATGCGTTGGTTTTCATCTCTAGCTGGTGTCTGCAAATCTTGTTTGGGGAAACGGGGAAACCCGATGTGACCTGACATTCTCAACAGTGTGAGAGGATTCATATGTTTTGGGTTGTTTGGAGGACTCAGCCTTGATATCATGGTGTATCTGCTAACAGATAGCGACATAGCTGACAACGGAAAATCCATTAAATGATTAAAAAAGGTAAAATGCTTTCTAGAGCAGTGAATAAAAGAGGGGGTGTTTGGAAAATGGTGCTAAAATGTTACACAACACCTCCACACTAGATATTTTTACTTCTTTTTTTTTTTCTTCAGTTTTTCCGTAAATAATTATGGATACTCAAAAAACATACTTTTTTCACACAAAATGTCTAAATCTAAAAAAAAAAATAATAATAATTTTCCTTGTTTGTTTATCTCTCAACAGTTCAAGAGGATGTTGAATAGAGAATTGACTCACCTCTCTGAGATGAGCCGATCTGGTAACCAGGTGTCTGAGTTCATCTCCAGTACATTCTTAGGTGAGTGTCCCACGAAAACATAATAAAGATCAAACATGGATGTTTACATACATTGAGTGTAGAATACAACTATAATGTTATGTGGCAACATGCACAGCATTTTTAAATGAACAAATGAGTCAAAGCATTTTGACTGGAGGAGGGCGGCTGTGTGAAATCGTGTGTGAATGACGGTCATGTAGCTAAATAATCAGCCGCAAGTGAGACCATTAAATGACCATAGCCCACTATTCTTTTACAAAAATTTCTAGAATCTTCTCTGAGCGATTTCTGTTTCTCTAGACAAGCAACACGAGGTGGAAATGCCATCGCCCCAGTCCCAGAAAGACAAGGAGAAGAAGAAAAGGCCGATGTCCCAGATTAGTGGTGTAAAAAAGTTAACGCACAGTTCCAGCCTTACCAACTCTAACATCCCTCGGTTTGGAGTCAAAACTGAAACAGAAGATGAGCTGGCCAAGGTAATCTTAAAATATATATTAAATAATAATAAATAAATTATCTTATCTAATAAAGCCTTAAAATATAAAAAAATACACTGCCGTTCAGATGTTTGGAATTTTTTTTTTCAAGGATATGTTAAATAGATAAGACATTTATAATGTTTCTATTTTAAATAAATTCTGTTATGTCAAAGTCCCTTTAAGGCAAGTCATGTCACTCGGCGGCCATCTTTGAAACACCTCTCGGGCATGCAAGTGCAGCTCCTATCTCTTTGAATGGGAAATCATCAAATTCTCCAAAACTGTTCGCAAAGCTTATGATTAAATAGCATTTAAAAAGGCTTATTTCTCAGGCCAGTGCACATGCGCAGTCCTAGGCGCACGTCTCCGAGCGTTGACTGTTTCTATAGCAACAGCGATTTCTAATGCACTGACTTTACCGATTAGCGGTTGGCTCTTTTCCTCAGAAGGCGGTGCTTCGTTCGATAGAGCGACCATATTGAGCGTTGCATTTTTCCCCATTCAAAACTATACGAGCGACACGTCTTGGGTATTCTATAGTCTTTGGTTATATTGAACTTTCTATTCTTCAGAGAATCCAGAAAAAAAATGTCTCACTGTTTACACAAAAATACTAAGCGGCACAACTGTTTTCAACATTGATAATAATAAAAAAAAAAAAATGTTTTTTGAGCACTAAATCAGCATAATATTATGATTTCTGAGGGATCATGTGGCACTGAAGACTGGAGTAATGGCTGCTGAAAATTCAGCTTTGCCATCACAGGAATAAATTACATTTTAAAATATTAAAATAAAAAATAAAAAAACTTTTTTTTAAATTGTAATATCACTGTTTTACTGTATTCTTGATATAATAAATGTAGATTTGGTGAGCATAAGAAACTTCTTTCAAAAACATTTTAAAAATCTTGCCGACCTCAAACTTTTTAACGGTAGTGTATAAAATAAAATGGCTATAAATTAGAGATGTACAGAAAACTTCAATATAGGAAATCAAACTATATGTTTCACTTTGTGTCATTTCAGGAGCTTGAAGATGTAAATAAATGGGGCCTTAATGTCTTCAAAGTGTCAGAATTTTCTGGGAACAGACCTTTAACAGTTATGATGCACACAATATTCCAGGTACATTTTTACAGTATTTGTTCCCTCAAGCTCAAGTTTGCTTTAATGTCTTTTCCTGCTAACAAGGGCAAACCATATGGGTTGTCTTTCTGTAGGAGAGGGACTTGTTAAAGACGTTTAAAATTCCCCTCGACACGTTTATCACCTATCTGATGACTTTAGAGGACCATTACCATGCTGACGTTGCCTATCACAACAACATCCACGCTGCTGATGTCACACAGTCCACTCACGTCCTGTTATCGACCCCTGCCCTTGAGGTATGATACTGCTGTCCCAGTATGCAATGCTGTTTCTTCTGATTGTTGGGTATTAAAAAAGTGGGCTACTATGTGAGATTTAAGAAAATCTTTCTGTGTCTGTTATTTTCAGGCTGTGTTTACAGACCTCGAAATACTCGCTGCCATATTTGCCAGTGCAATACATGATGTTGACCATCCTGGCGTCTCCAACCAGTTTCTCATCAACACTAGTAAGTCTCTAGCTCTAAGAACATGACACTTTACTATTAAACTTTCTTTTGCTGCTGTGGCATTAAAGGAATAGTTTACACAAAAATGTCAACTTGCTGAAACTGTACTCACCCTCAGGCCATCCAACATCAGTTTGTTTCCTCATCAGAACAGATTTGGAGAAATTTAGCATAACATCACTTGCTTACCAATGGATCCTCTGTAGTGAATGGGTGCCGTCAGAATGAGAGTCCAAACAGCTGATAAAAGCATCACAGTAATCCACAAGTAATCCATATGTCTCCAGTTCATCAATCAGTGTCTTGTAAAGTGAAAATCTGCAAGTTTGTAAGAAACAAAGACTTTTAAATTTAAACTGTTGCTTCTGGCTGTTTTTTTCTTGTGAACGGTGCTTGGTCTGTTCATATTTCTCTCCTGATTCAGACGGATATGACTTTTTCATACCGCATAGCAATATTATGGATAGAGTACTCGTATTTTAGCAAAAGTTTATGTTAATTGATGGACTGGAGTCGTGTGGATTATTGTGATGTTTTTATCAGCTGTTTGGACTCTCATTCTGACGGCACCCATTCACTGCAGAGGATCCATTGGTGATCAAGTGATGTAATGTTAAATTTCTCCAAATCTGTTTTGATAAAGAAAATCTCTTGGATGGCCTAAGGTTGAGTACATTTTCAGCAAATTTCCATTTTTGGGTGAACTATTCCTTTAAGACCTCTGTTATACTTTAAAATGCAAAGTTGCTATACATGGTCCAGGTTGACTGGGAAAAGTCTACATACTATACTAAATCAAAAAAAGCAAACCCTATTCTCGTTGTATCCGTAAAGGAGCATCACGTTGCTTCCTACAATTTACATGTGTGCAATGTTTTTCACAGCTGTCAGAACCACTTTTAGCTTAATCACGGTTGTTCAAAGTAGCAGACCCACACAAAGAGGAATCAATACGTTTAAGTTGTTATCACGTGCAGCAAGTGGTCAATCGGGCGATTTTCACATGCTATGGATGCATGGTGGGCTACATGTGTCGGTGAATCACAAAACTCACGTGTCCCACCCGCACAGCTGGTAAAATCCCGTCAATGACTAATGGAGGGACAAGTGGTGCTTGTCACAAGCTCAGCAGGAACTTGAACACAAGAGGAGGATGCATGTTGTTCCATACCTATATGCTGCTGTTTTTAGCCGTGGAATGAGACATTTTGATGAAAGGTCAAGCTCCAAAAAAAGCACCATGAAAGTGGTTCATACGACTTGTGCACCCTTTTAAAGCATAACTGTAGCCTTCCAATAAACTGAAATGTATTATTTAGGTTGCTATACTCTACATAGAAAGTCCACCAAGAATTACAAATACAAGAGCTGTCGAGTTAGTACAGTATAGAATTAATTGTGCTTCCTCTTTTTTTTCTCTCCCATCTCAGACTCTGAGCTGGCCCTCATGTATAATGATTCGTCTGTGTTGGAGAATCATCATCTGGCTGTAGGTTTTAAACTGCTGCAGGAAGAGAACTGTGACATCTTCCAGAACCTGACCAAGAAACAGAGACAGTCACTCCGCAAGATGGTCATTGACATTGTGAGTCACAATGTTAAATGTGTCGTCGGTCTATAGTTTAGCTATAATTTATCACACTGGACTGTTTTTGCAGTTTAATTGCACTGATACTTGTAATATGGAACTAAACTTTATTTGATGTGAAAATAGGTTCTCTTCAGCTAAAACTGATGATCACCATCCTATTTTGCAGGTTCTGGCCACAGACATGTCTAAGCACATGAATTTGTTGGCGGATCTGAAAACCATGGTGGAGACCAAAAAGGTGACCAGTTCTGGGGTATTACTGCTGGATAACTACTCTGACAGGATACAGGTTGGTCCTTTTATTAAAACTCATTTTGTATTGTAGATACGACAATAAAGATGAGGATTTGAGCTTGTTAAAAGTAGTGTTTCTCTTTTTTTGTAATTAATTTATAAAATTTGTTAATTGACAAGTAATATTTGTATTAATGTAGAATTGTTTTACATAAAATATATGAATACATTTAAAAAAAAAAAAACAGCCTCCGCTCTGAGAATTCAGCACCCAAATTTGAATATGATAATATACTTCTGAATATGTAAATGTATGTAAATATTCATTTGAATGCGTAACTGACAGCTTTTGGCTGTGTCTCAGGTCTTGCAGAACATGGTGCACTGTGCAGACCTCAGTAACCCCACCAAGCCACTGCAGTTGTACAAGCAGTGGACGGACCGCATCATGGAGGAGTTCTTCAGTCAGGGGGACAGAGAGCGGGAGCGCGGCATGGAGATCAGCCCCATGTGCGACAAGCACAACGCTTCAGTCGAGAAGTCCCAGGTAAGCCAGCTCAGGGTAGATAAAGATGAATGAAATAATGGAACACAAAATAATCAAGCTTATATATTTTAGATATTTAACTCTATATTATGTTCCTAAATGTTGAATGCTCTCAGTCGACATCTGGAAAATAGTGGAGCTTTTGTGCGGCTTTTGTTTGTGGACTTTTCGTCTGCATTTAATTTTTTGCAACCTATTATTTTAGGGCAAAAACGTATTAGTCAGTTTAATTTTAACCATGGTTTAGTTTTATGGATTGTGAGTTAATGGGGTCTTATCGGACATGTTAAATATTTCTATAGGTTCACCACAAGGCTGTGTACTTTCTCCTGTTATTTTCATTTTATATACAAATGATTGTCAGAGTTTGTACAATAATAGTTATTTGGTCAAATATGCAGATGATACTGTGCTTCTGTCTTTGCTGTCATATCCAGATCAGGAATATGGTGGGGTTTTGGATGATTTTATTTTATGGTGTAATAGGATGAAATTAGATTTGAATGTGTCAAAAACGAAAGAGATGATCATCAATTTTAGTAAGAAAACACTTGCACCTCAAAGGGTGGTCATTAATGACACACAGGTTCATGTAGTGGAAGAATACAAGTATTTAGGAACGATTATTGATAATAGGCTGAAGTTTGATCAAAACACAGATGCAATCATTAAAATGTCACATCTAAGATTGTATGTGTTGTGGAAGCTGAATTCGTTTAATGTACAGAGAGTCATTCTCAGGACTTTCTATAATTCATTTGTTGAAAGTATCCTGTTCTTTTCCTTTATTTGTTGGTTTTCCTTATTGTCTACAAAGAACAAAAATCGTTTGCAAGGTATTGTTAATATGTGCTCAAAAATCCAAGAAACAGAGACAGTCACTCCGCAAGATGGTCATTGACATTGTGAGTCACAATGTTAAATGTGTCGTCGGTCTATAGTTTAGCTATAATTTATCACACTGGACTGTTTTTGCAGTTTAATTGCACTGATACTTGTAATATGGAACTAAACTTTATTTGATGTGAAAATAGGTTCTCTTCAGCTAAAACTGATGATCACCATCCTATTTTGCAGGTTCTGGCCACAGACATGTCTAAGCACATGAATTTGTTGGCGGATCTGAAAACCATGGTGGAGACCAAAAAGGTGACCAGTTCTGGGGTATTACTGCTGGATAACTACTCTGACAGGATACAGGTTGGTCCTTTTATTAAAACTCATTTTGTATTGTAGATACGACAATAAAGATGAGGATTTGAGCTTGTTAAAAGTAGTGTTTCTCTTTTTTTGTAATTAATTTATAAAATTTGTTAATTGACAAGTAATATTTGTATTAATGTAGAATTGTTTTACATAAAATATATGAATACATTTAAAAAAAAAAAAACAGCCTCCGCTCTGAGAATTCAGCACCCAAATTTGAATATGATAATATACTTCTGAATATGTAAATGTATGTAAATATTCATTTGAATGCGTAACTGACAGCTTTTGGCTGTGTCTCAGGTCTTGCAGAACATGGTGCACTGTGCAGACCTCAGTAACCCCACCAAGCCACTGCAGTTGTACAAGCAGTGGACGGACCGCATCATGGAGGAGTTCTTCAGTCAGGGGGACAGAGAGCGGGAGCGCGGCATGGAGATCAGCCCCATGTGCGACAAGCACAACGCTTCAGTCGAGAAGTCCCAGGTAAGCCAGCTCAGGGTAGATAAAGATGAATGAAATAATGGAACACAAAATAATCAAGCTTATATATTTTAGATATTTAACTCTATATTATGTTCCTAAATGTTGAATGCTCTCAGTCGACATCTGGAAAATAGTGGAGCTTTTGTGCGGCTTTTGTTTGTGGACTTTTCGTCTGCATTTAATTTTTTGCAACCTATTATTTTAGGGCAAAAACGTATTAGTCAGTTTAATTTTAACCATGGTTTAGTTTTATGGATTGTGAGTTAATGGGGTCTTATCGGACATGTTAAATATTTCTATAGGTTCACCACAAGGCTGTGTACTTTCTCCTGTTATTTTCATTTTATATACAAATGATTGTCAGAGTTTGTACAATAATAGTTATTTGGTCAAATATGCAGATGATACTGTGCTTCTGTCTTTGCTGTCATATCCAGATCAGGAATATGGTGGGGTTTTGGATGATTTTATTTTATGGTGTAATAGGATGAAATTAGATTTGAATGTGTCAAAAACGAAAGAGATGATCATCAATTTTAGTAAGAAAACACTTGCACCTCAAAGGGTGGTCATTAATGACACACAGGTTCATGTAGTGGAAGAATACAAGTATTTAGGAACGATTATTGATAATAGGCTGAAGTTTGATCAAAACACAGATGCAATCATTAAAATGTCACATCTAAGATTGTATGTGTTGTGGAAGCTGAATTCGTTTAATGTACAGAGAGTCATTCTCAGGACTTTCTATAATTCATTTGTTGAAAGTATCCTGTTCTTTTCCTTTATTTGTTGGTTTTCCTTATTGTCTACAAAGAACAAAAATCGTTTGCAAGGTATTGTTAATATGTGCTCAAAAATGTTAGGTTCCCTTGCGAAGTCTTACGTTTTATTATGAACAGCAAGTGATGAGGGTGGCACATAAAATTATAGGAGACTGCACACACCCTTTGAATGATTATTTTAAGTGGATGCCCCTTGAGAGACGTTTAAGGTCAATTAGATGTTCCACAAATCGGTACAAATTTACTTTTGTGCCTGAAGCAATATGTTTATGTGATAAATTTAGTTTATTTATAAATTTTTTCCCTTCTCTTATGTATTTGGTGTATTTTGAGTATTTGTATGTGTGTGTTAAGTGTTGTATTTGTGAAGCACTACGAAAGTCTGAATTAATTGCCCCAAGGGGATTTTATTTGTAACCGTTATGCATGGAGTCAGATGTTTAAAGCAATTGTAACCATTCAGAGTGGGATGTTACATCCAAACTACCATGTGATGACCTTCTGAGCCTTACCCATAAGTCTATATGGCTGTCCTCTTTGTTATTGTTATTTTTGTGTATTATAATTTATTACAGCATAAATCCCATGGAGTTGGTGTTCTTATATAAAATATATTCTTGAAAAAATAAACAGATTATGAATTATTTTATTTTAAAGAAAAAGTAAAGAGGTAATTTTTTCCTCATGATTTAATTCATGCATCAAATGGTTAACATTTTTGCGAATGTATGTTTGGGTTGGGTTTGGTAAGTCTTTACCAAGACTGCATTTATTTGATCAAAAACACTGTAAAAACAAAAATATTTTGAAATATTATTACTATTGAAAATAACTGTTTTCTGTTTTAATATATTTAAAAACATTTATGCCTGTGATGGTGAAACTGAATTTTCAGCAGTCATTACTCCAGTCTTCGGTATCACATGATCATTCAGAAATAATTTTTATAATTTTTTTGCTGCTCAAGAAACGTTTCTTATTATTATCAATGTTGAAGACAGTTGTGCTGCTTAATATTTGAAAGTTGCAAAAGAACAGCATTTGTTTGAAATAGAAATATTTCATATAAATGTCTTCACTTTTAATCAATTTAGCATGTCCTTGCTCAAGAAAAGTATTAAATTACTGACCCCAAACATTTGAATGGTAGTGTATATGCCAGATATTTTATAAATCCTTTTAAATACCTCGGTAGATATTATGTAAAAACTGATAACTCAATATATTGTGTATACTAATAAATATTTTACGACAGTATACAAACCTTCTTTCAAAGGAATTTTTTTTCTCTCTTTCTCTTTTGTTCTAGGTGGGCTTCATCGATTACATTGTACACCCACTGTGGGAGACGTGGGCAGACTTGGTGCACCCAGACGCCCAGGACATCTTGGACACGCTGGAGGACAACAGGGAGTGGTACCAGAGCACCATCCCCCAGAGCCCCTCTCCAGCGCTGGACACCAGCAGCGAGGGCCGACGCACCGCCGGCCAGGATAAGTTCCAGTTTGAACTGACTCTGGAGGAGGACGGAGAATCCGACACGGAGAAGGACAGTGGCAGCCCTCCTGATGAAGAGGAGGAGGAGGAAGAGGAGGAAAACAGCTGCAGTGACTCTAAAACCCTTTGCACACAGGACTCGGAATGTACAGAGATCCCCCTGGACGAGCAGGTGGGGGACGCACAGGAGGACGAGGACGAAGAGGATGAGCAGGAGGATGAAAGGGAAATATCAGAACCCTGTGTTTTAGAGGAGGAAGAGGAGGAGGAAGAGGAAGATGAAGAGGACACTGCCAACACATAACACAGTATGACACGGCACCTGAACTTTTTTATATTAGAGAGGAGAAACACTTATTTATGGTTAAGATATTAGTGTTTTTCATTGTCTATTTTGCATACGTCGTTCAGAAGTGCTTTTTAAATGTCCGCCTTTAACCTGTTTTTTATTTTACTTTTTAGCCATTTAGTTTTAGCCATTTTTACACTCAGGAATATCTTTTCCACTTCCACCTGTCATTCATACAGACAAACTAAACAAATGAAAGGTTAAAAAGCTCGACTTGTATTCCTGATTGTGAGGTACTTTATCTATTCTTTATTTTTTTGACTGAAACAGTATTTCAGAAACATTTAACTCCGAAAGCAGCTGTTTTTCACCAACGAGACACTATTTGTTCCTGTTTATCTGAAGGAAAGTGGCAACTCAAAGTATTTTAGCAGACAAACACTTTAGAAGTGAATACTCCATGCTTTGAACTTCACGTCTTCCTGATGCCTTGAATGTGTTATTGATCTGGATTTAGCTGTCTGTTGTGTTTGTGTATCAGTCATTATTTGAAGTCAATGAACATGGTACCAAAGTGAAAAGAACTTGTGAGACACCATTTTCACACTGAAAATACTCATTTTCATTTAAATTACCATATTTCGGGTAAATATGTAAATGTGGTCATTTCATACCTTTATTTGTTGCATTCAATCCAGATCTGAAAATAATTTTTAAATATTATTTTTTTGAACAATAAGTTGCTCTGTTTAATAATACCTGATTATGACCATATTTCAACTTTTTTTTTTTTTTTATGTATTCGCCCAAGAACAAGAACTCTGTTATAAATTGGTTATGAAATAATAGCTTGAGTAAGCCTTAAATGTTTTTGTTGCCTATCATTGTTGTCTATCTTGCTAGCAATGGGGTAAAATGAATCCTGGTTATCACTTTATAAATAACTATGAATTATTATTATAATTAAATAATACTATTTGTATTATTATTATTATGGCCCTGCTAATTTGTTTCTCAGAAATGTTTGCCAGCTGTTTGGTGCCATACGTCCCTGGCCAGTTAAACAGAAAACAGCTGACATAAATGATCAAGCTCAATTTAATGCTTTCTGTTGTCACATGATCATGGGACAGTCAGCTTCTAGTTGCACTGTACCTTTTCGTTTTCTTTTTTGTTTTTTGTAATTAGTATTTATTTTGGTTATTTTTGACATTGCCAAACATTACCAGTCGCAATGTTTTTAATTGCTGCTTTACTCATCTCTGTCAAGTGTCCTACTGTACAAACATCCTCTTCGTTTTGTTACGTTTATGCTAGCATTATTTATTAATGCTCTTTGATGTGCTTGTAGCGCAGTTTTAATTGAACTGTAGCATCGGCGATGCAGGCTTATGAGTCAGTTTTCCTTAATATATTATTTTAATTATACATATGCAGTAAATATACCTAATCAAATGTACAAAATTCTGTATATCGAAGCCTTTTGAAACGACCCCTTTCTCGTTGCTGTCTTTACTCTATTTAAAACTCATTCAGTTGCCAAGTTAGCTTTTTTATTAGTAGTTCATATTTTTTTAATTGTCTCCATTCTCTACATTGTTTTAATTTCTCTCTGTTTACATACATGTATTTATTGTGCTGTACAGTACATATTGTTGCTCTTATCATGTGGTTGTAAATGATTATATCATCCCTTTTGGTGATGGTGTTGTATTATGGAACTCTTACTGAGAGAATGTTTGTTATTCTTAGTATGTCATGATCCCATTGATATGTGTCTCTAGAGAGATTGCGTAGAGAAAGGGAAAGCCAAATTATAGTAATTACTGTGTTTATTTTTCATTCTTTCTTTCTTTTTAAAAGAAAGTGGTTCCGTGGCCTGAGGGTTGTGCCTTACAGATAGCTCTTTAGATTTTATCCTCTTGCTGCACTAAAGAAACTACTGGCTGGACATTGACCTAGATGTGTTTGTTGTGTTCCTCCTGTTTATGTGGCATAAATGCTCCCAGCATAAAACAAACAAACAGACAAAAAAATAGACAAAAGTTGTCAGACCTCATCAGACAGGGTAAAAGCAGGCCAGTGTCATGGGTTTGGGTTTGCGACCAGCTGTAAGAACCTCCATCCTATTTCCGTCTATGCTGTGTTCGTCTGACTGAGACATTCGAAGACATTTGCGTTTCATGCAATATGAGAGAAACCATCTTTCTGTTTGAGGGAAAACAGGGCATTTTGATTTCCAGATCCTTCACAAAAAGCCCAAACGCTCAATTTGGGACTCATTTTGACACGTATACTGTAGATTCTTATTGACCCTAAATGAATGAAGTCAGTGCGTCCTTCTCGACTCTTTTTAAATCATGAGAACAATACACAAACAGAATTTGACAAATGATATTTAGGGATAACTATTTTTTTGTTATGTGACTTGAATGACAAAACTTGTCTGGAGGTTTCACAAGACCGTGTAGTTGTTTATTGGACTCCTTGTTTATCGCAGTCTATTGGATAGAACTGTAGAAATAAAAATGTACGTATGAAAAAGTTTTTTTATATGCACCAAAATAAAAGCATGGGTTGACTCTATGATGCTGTCTCTTGTTTCCTCTGAAAATATCCTGCAATCTTTCTATAACCAAATCTATGATTTGTTTAGTTTTATTTTATTCTTAAATGACATTTTTTTTAGATGGACTGTTCAAGTTACATTTGGCCTGATCTGATTGTGTGTGTATGTGTGTGTGTGTGTGTGTGTGTTTATTAAATATATAATTTTCTAATAATATAATTTATTTGTATATACAGTTTTTATTAATTTTTATTCCAGTTTTAGTTATTTTAGTATGTCAAGATAGACTAAATGAAAATGACAAATGTTTTCTTTTCTTAGCAGCTAGCTGAAATAAAATAAGGTTTTACGTTTTTTATATTTTATTTTATTTCAGTTCACGTTTATTTTATTTAAAGTAACGCTTTTTATGGTGTTAGTTTACTATAATAACCCTGGTTCAGACTGATTTTTTATTTGATTTTATTTAAAATAAAAGAATGAAGATACAGATTTAGTAGCAGCTGTCTGTACGGGACCATGTGAAAGAATGGATCTAGACAAGAGAACCACTTCAAGGCCACATTTATTTTTTCTCATACTTTTAGCTTTCGCAGTCATTTTGCGTACACGCGGTCACACACAAACATATCCAACTGACTCACCAGCAAAATGCAAGTACATCATCCTCTCAATCTATTACACATAAGTTAGACAAGTAGGTAGAATTTATAAATTTGCAGAAGTTTATAATTCCCCTGAGAGACATGGGAATGATTGCGGAGCATCTTTGCTAAAATGACTAATAGGAGAGATATTGCAGTGCAGGGAATACAGGTACACTAACAACCCCTGAAAAAAGACCTGTATACTGGTATAATGGCATAAAGGAAGGACAAGGTTTGACACTTGTGTTTGGCACAATCTTGCTAGTTTGCTATGTCATTAACACAAAAAAACTAGGAGTTAAAGCCAGGTCAAAGATTTGAGGTTCAGTAACTTATTCTGTGTCAAAGACAGAAGCTTGGCAACAGCACTCGAGCCACAGATGCGGACGGCCTGGACGGTGGACGGTGAACTCTAGCAGCTACAGTCAGACTGCTGCGGGGGCGTCAGGTTGTCCGTCAGTCTGGTAGTGGGCGTTCCTGTGGTGACGGCGGGGTCGGCCTCAAGTGTGTCTGACATCTTGTCGCAAATGACGTCCACCAAGCGTTCAAAAGTCTGCGTGACGTTGATGTTGTCCTTTGCGCTTGTCTCAAAAAACTCAAATCCTTTTCGGAAAGAGAGATTGGTAAGTATGACATGTAAAGGGAATACACACCAGCTTTCAAAAGTTTGGGGTCGGTAAGATTTGTACGTTTTAAAAGTCTCTTATGCTCATCAAGACTTCTATTATGTGATCAAAAATTTGTACATTTGTAATTTATTCATGTGATGGAAAATCTGATTTTTAAGCTGCCATTACTCCAGTCTTCAGTGTCACATGATTCTTCAGAAATCATTCTAATACGTCAATTTGATGCTCAAGACAACATCATTATTATCAATGTTGAAAACAGTTGTGTTTCTTAATGTGTTTGGGGAAACCGTGATGCATTTGATGAATAGAAAGTTCAAAAGAACAGCATTTATTTGAAATACAAATCTTTTGTAATGTTTAAATGTCTTTTCTTTCCAGTTTGATCAATTTACTGTGTTCCTTTCAGAATAAAAGTCTTGATTTCTCTAAAATCTTTCTAACCCCAAACAATATATTTGCTCAAAACTAACCAAATTTAAAAATATATATCATATATAAATATATATACACATATATCGGTATCGGCATTGGATATCGGCTAAAATGAGTTTTTAAAATATTGGCATTTTAGATATTATATATATATATATAAATATAAATATATATTTTTTACTCACCCAGCTGTTCTGCTAGCAGTCTCCCGCTGTCCACAGACACTATCCTCTCCTCCTCCATGTCGCATTTGTTTCCTGCGAGGATCACCTGGGCATTGTCCCAAGAGTATGTCTTAATCTGGGTCGCCCTGACACAAGACGAGACAAAAGCGAGCAGACATGCTTGTCATCAGGACAAATGCCACTGATACATCCTCCAGCACAAGATGTACCAGACTCATACCAAAACTTTTGACAGTTTTATCGTATGAATATGTCATCATGCCACACAGAATCAATGGAAACGTCGTGTCGAACACACTTCTTCAGACTGTGTCCCTCTCTGTTCCTGTTTCTCATCTCTACAGCAGCATGTTCCTTGCGTTTTCTAATCCAGAAATGTAATGGCACTTTATTACTACAGTGTATTTTGGGGGTATTTGTACTCAAGTGATGCAATTTCCTTCAAAACCACTTTAAGTATTATGTTATGTTTCGCAGGTCATTATGACTTAAATCTTTTTCTCTTGTACAAAAAGTATTTTTCATCTTACTAAACTAACAAGGTAAATCAAGCTCACGTGTAATTTAGAGGAACAGTAAAATATTTTTCACACATTGCTATTGTATGACTTCAGAAGACTTGAAATACAGTCCACAATTTCCTTTCTAGAAAGTTACTGGAATGACATGAATAGGAGTAAACGATGACAGAATTTGCATTTCATTTGTAATAAAACTAAAATTATTATTATATTATAAATTATACTTTTAAACAATATTTGTTTTCCTAAAATAACTTTGACCATTTTGAGCACTGAACCATTCATTCTAAACTAAAAAAATGTATTTTATAAAGTTACTTTAATAAAATAATTTCTTTAAAGTATGGTTCACTCAAATATGAAAACACCCTCATGTCGTTCCATGCGATTTCCATGCGTTTCTTTTTTTCTTCTTCTGTGAAACACAAAAGAAGATATTTTAGGAAAAGTGGGTCCATACATAGAACATCTTACCAATGTTCTTCAAAATAGCTTCGTTTAAGTTCTTATACAAGTTTAGAATGACATGAGGGTGAGTTAATAATTGCATAATTTTCATTTTTGCATTAACTATCCCTTTAAGTTTGGTTTTGCTAAATTAAGAAAAAAAAATTATTTTGTACCACTAAAACTTAATAAAATCACTATGATATGTTCCTGATATGATTCCTGACGTTCATTTATAGATTTTGACTCCAGGATCGACAGGCATGAATGTCACGCTTTCAGGCAGACGGAAACACACAGTGAAAAGCTCATGAATACTTCTTTTGAAAGCAGAAGCTCTGGCTGTCATAATGCAAGATGTAAGCTTTAAATCCACTTACCAGTC